GATTGTCTATGATGGCATTAAACATAAGAAAAGCGTTCATTAATGCCAGAAGGGGAAAGTGCCAAGTTTGGATATGAGGCGCATTTCATGTCGTTTGCGGCTATCGTTGCTTCCAGAAATGGAACAGAGGGCTCGAATTAACATATCTGAAACACTGTGATTGCCATCACTGTTAAAATGTCTGGCAACAGGTTGGTTAGCATCATTGCCAATAACTGCACGCCGATGCTCACCAAATCTTGTCCTTACCAAACATCTTCCAGTTTCCCCAATGTAAAGCATGCCACATCTGCTGCAAGAGATGCAGTACATGAGATGGGAGGAGGCGCACGTGAAGTGGTGCTTGATGTGAAATTCAGAGTTAGGTGCCGAAACAATAGTGGTGGAATCTATAAAATCACAGGTTTTACATTTCGACGACAGGCAAGGAAAAGTGCCTTTCTGCGACGTCGAAGCCGTCGAAGTTAGGGAGCTATGGACAAGGGTTTTTGCTGTGTCGAAAAGAGACTAAGGGGTTATCGTAGAAAATGGAAGATGTTTCAGGGTCCGATACTTTTTCCACCCCTGGTTATTGTTAAGCATTATATGCGCCTGCGATCTTGTTCGCGTTATATATGTTATATTCATGTAGCACGTCTTGGCCACGTTGTTATTATATGCGCCTGAGATCTTGTTCGCGTCATGTTATATTCATGTAGCACGTCTTGGCCACGTTGTTATTTTCATCGTATCTCATATTATATTACGGGCTATACCTTTAAAGTTGTTGTTATCGCTTTACTGTCGAGTCTCCTCTTAAATATTGGCGTTATGTAAATCAGCATGATTTTCTATCAAATATACAAACTCCTCGACGCTCATGATTTCTTTTGTGTTTTAATTCTTCATGAATTATTAATGATTTCACAAAATATTTGGGGAAAAACCTACCTAAAATGATCATGTTTTGTGATTGGCTTTCAGAAACAAATCAGAAACAAAAATGATCATTGTTCGTGACTCGTTCTTTCGAAAGACGATTTCTATAGTTTTATTGTCATTCATTGTTATAATCAACCAACCATGAGCCTGGATGTAGTATAGGTAGATGATGACGCAAATATTTATGTTTATATTGCACAACTATCTATACATATGCAATATTCAAATGCGCATTACAATACATGATTATATAGATATAAGCAATAAAACAATAAAAGAGAAATATAATTATATACATGTAAAAGCACTAATCAATTACTGAAAAGTTCTACTGAATAAAAATGTCTTAACCCTATTTTTAAAAGTTATAATGTTCTGTAGTTCTCTTATTTTTGCTGGAAGAGAATTCCAAAGTTTGGGAGCAACACGCGAAAAAGCACAACCCCCGAGTGTCTTCGTAATGTTTACAACATGCATGAGCGGCCGTGTTGTATCGGATATACAAACTCGAGCCGAACAAAGTTAAAGTTTATGTAAATCAACATGAATCTGTATCACATGTACAGATACGACACGCTTATGATTTTTCTTTGTGTTTTCTTCATGAATTATTAATGAGTTTTTTAATTAGATTTACCATTGGGGTTTGCTAAAAGTAGCCCATCATAGAGATTACTACAGAGAGTATTATGGGGATTACTACAGTATTGTAGATAGTGGACGTGCTTACTGTATGTTGTAGTTAGAATACAGTATTTCACTCTTTCCTTGATAAAGCATTTTAATGCAATGATCATATTTTTTTTGTTCTTCAGGCATTTTGTTGTATATCTACTGGAAAATACTCCGGTGATGACCATTCAATGGCGAGGTCTTAAAGGCGTGTTTATATGAGCGTGGCTAATCGGGAAAGTCACCCGACTGAGATTTGCATGCCTTTTGCCTTTGGTATAAACGCATATGAAATTCAGTTTGTGTTCGTATGAGAAACGAGTTAACCTGGCTAGGTGAGATTTCACATTGCGCTATAAGTGGGATCAAATGTACATGTGATAAAATGTTCCATGTGAAAGTTTTATCCCTTTGGACCTTACTAGACCTCTAGGAAGAAGAATAAAAACATTGATACAGTTAAAGTAAGGTTAGTTTAAAAAATTGTTTCTAGAGTACCCGAAAATAAAAGCTGTTCATGTTGCGTTGAAAACCGTTAAAACGTGGTTGGAAGAAAACCATTGGGTATGTAATAAAATTGTTTGACTATTCACGTGCATGTAAGTGGGCAATATCGCAAAAAAAAAACTGACGAGCTGTTTAACTTCTCGCCCAACAAAAGAAAAACATAACATATTTTTGACTTGAAAGAACAAGTATTTGACTTGTCATTTCAACAGTAACCAGCTTTTGTGGTGTCGTGATCACCACGCTTACGGTTAAAGTCTTTGCTTGAATCCTATGTTGGTCCTATAATTTTTTGCGTATATTCATCGAACATTTTGTCAGACGGTTCTCTGACCGATATTTTAAGGCCTGGTCATTACATGCACTTTTCAATTGTATTGAATTGAATTCTTGTAATTGTGTAAATGTGATTTGGCTCTTTCACCTTCTTCACAAACCTTTGTAGAACTGAAAATAATGACTTTTTAGTGCCAGTGTAAATAAAGTTTGTTTAGTTTAGGCTTCTTACTGCAGTAACACTGGATCAATAAGATCGAGATGATCCTTACTGGACCTCTAAGTAGAACAATTTAGAACTAATAGAGCTATCCAGTATAAATAAATTTAATTTAGTTTATAGGTTTCCTCCTGTAGTAACACTGGATCAATAAGAGATGATCGTGACTGCACCTCCAGAAAGAACGTTAGCGTTAGTGAATATGGTGGGCTTATACACGGGTGGTCTTATTTTCGGAAGTTTACGGTATCAGTGTTTTCTTTTATCAAACAGAAATAACGAGTTTCGATGATGAAGTTTGTGTACCGTGGTTGGCGCTACATCTGAGCAAGGATGTCGAAAAAGTTGCAATGCTGTTAGAAGTTGACGCGGTGGAAATCGAAGCTATTAAACAAGACGAACCCCAGCCAGAAAGACGAAACATTGAAATCTTTAACTCGTGGAGAAATGCCGAAATAAAGCTTGGAAAGAAACCAACGTGGGACAAAATTCGTTTATGCTTGAAAGATGAAACCGTTGGACGGTATGATGTCATTCGTGCCCTTTTGAAAGAAGACGAGTTGGATGGCCGTGTTTTGGTATGCCTTGCACCCCGCATTGCGGCGTCGTTTCGAAACTACGCTCGCGTTCTTGGCGTGCCAGAATGTAAAATAGATATGTCAAGTCAGAATTTTGAAGGTGTTGAGAAGAGCTGTATGGATGTTTTGTAAAGATGGCGACGAAGGACAAGGTATCCTAAAGTTGAAGACTTGATACAAGCTTTAGAACATGATATTATAAACAGACCTGCATGATCTGGCCGAAGAAATGAGAGAGAAGTTTTGTAATCACGAAGTCAATGTAAGTGATAAAGATGGGAATGTCCTGTGGTGTATTGATTTGAATGAAATACTCTGCATGTGTAAGTGTCGACACTACCATAAACTAGCTTGGTTTAGACTGGGTAACTCTAATTCTAGCTGTGCTACACATAGAGGTCCGGTAGTAATCATCCCTTATTGATCCAGTGGAGAAAGCCAGAATACCTGGAGAAAACCGGCGGTGTTTGGTCGAGTCCGCTCTGTATATAACTAGTCACAATTACTCTTAATTAAAGGATGAAGAAATTTTTTATTTAAGGATGAGGTCCTGAGCCTGTTGGACAACCTGTTAATATGAGCAAGCCAAAGTTGAAGATTTGATACGAGCTTTAGAACATGCATGATGTTACAATAAAACGCGCATATAAGAACCTAGATTTTCCAAGTTAGCCTAAACAGGTTCTTGTGTAAATGGTGCTTACCAGGAAATTAGGCTAAACAGATTCTTAAATAGGTTGTTATTTTATAAATGTATAAAACAGCTGGTTCTGATAATAATAGCCATGAATGTAATAAAAAAATCATTTGAATTTATAGCTCAACCTCTTACCCAAATTATCAATCTTTCGCTTTCAATTGGCATTCACCCTGATTTACTAAAAATAGCCAAGGTAATGCCTGTATTTAAAACCGATAATCCTGAAAATTTTACAAATTAAGACCAATCTCGCTATCAAATTTTTGGAAAATTTTTTGAAAAAGTCGTGCATAATCGATTGCATTATTGATTTTCTGAATCAATTCGAAATTCTCTATCCTCTCCAATATGGATTTCGAAAAAAATCATTCCACAGTCTCTTCACTTATCTACCTGATGAATAATAGAATTGCTACAGCTATTGATCAAAGTTAAATTACCATCGGTACCTTCCTAGATCTGTCAAAACCAATTGATACCCCTAATCATCAAATTTTGTTGTCTAAGTTGGAACACTATATATGGTATCCGTGGTATAACATTGCAATGGATCAAAAGCTATTTTTCTAATCGAAAACAATTTGTCCAGTTCGATGAGACCCATTCCACCGAACAGATTATTAAGTACGGGGTTCCTCAGGTTCAATATTAGGCCCTACATTTTTCCTACTTTATATAAATGACCTCCCTAATGCTACAGAGTTGGCAGAGTGTTTGCTTTTTGCAGATGATACCAGCATTTGAATGTTGCATTTGAATGTAAAATCTGCAATTCAGGAGAGGTGGAAAATGAAACCCATCTCCTCTCTTGCAAAGGCTATGAGTAATCTCGTGCAAACCTTCGAAGTTCATTAGAGAATGCTTCATCTGACGAGATTAATCTAAACTCTCAAACTCTATCAGTGGACATAATGAAGCCAACTGATAGTGAAATAATAACCAAACTTTCAAAATTGGTTTATTCATGTTTCGAGCAAAGACTTAAATACTTTGAAACCAGGAATGCAAGTAATGCAGATTAGCAAAGGTTGTAATAACCACCTTTTTTGTAAATAGTGTACTTGTCTTCTTTCTTTCCTCTTACAGTAATTCTTCTTAACATTGTATTAGTCTATAATAAATCATTCCACAAATAGTAATCTGTAATAGTCTTAGTTTATCATAGTTTCTAATTATATTGTTTGTAATGCTTTAGCAATACTGTAAATTTATGGTCATGTTAATAAAGCTATTAATTACCTTACCTCAGAGCTATTTTAAGACCCGCTATTGAAAAAAATACCACTTTTTCTATATTATGTATGTACATCAATATGCCATATAACATGACTAAATAGTTACGGAAGTACATTTACAAGCAAGCATTAGCTAGTTTAGCTACTCTGACTGAAGAGGCTTTTATTTAAGTTTTTAGTTAGCGGGTATATGCCCATAAAACTCGCTTGCCTCCAGAAACCCTCTACACCCAAGGTAATGGATATATAGCCCGCATTAGACTTTTTCCCTGACTTGCAGCAAGTCTAAGGCTAAACCGATTTAAATGAGAGTTGGCAGTCACGCGAGCTTGGTCAGCTGTTCTTAATGGAATGCTTTCCCAACACTATCATGTATTCTATTTAAGTTAAAACATAGTTGGAACACTCGCTATGTTAAAACATAGTTGGAACACATGGCCCACCTGTAGATCACTGTGGAGCTTAGTGTGACCTCTGGAGCAACAGATCATGATCAACCTATGAGATTGAAGTTGTCTTGTCGTTAATCAGTCTTCTTCTATTGACCAATTCGAAAATTAGCTGCCACAATTTGGCATTATTGATCCGGTTGACTGCACCGAAGGGAGGCTTTCTGGGGGGCGCTATCTGTATTTCTCGGGTGTTCTGGGTGTCACAAACGCGACATTCCATCGCAGGCTCACGGTGCAACGATTTAGCTAAAATACGACGCCTGCTCAGGCGTTCACTCCACGGGTTGGGGGCAATATACTCAGTGTCACGTTTTAGGGAGAGTTACTATTTTTACACTTTTGTAATTTTGTATTCTTTCTTACTTTAAACTTAACCCTAATAATCCAAACCGGCAAACCTAACCCTTACTCTAATCTTAATCCTAACCCTACTCTCCAGTGCCTTTTTTAAGGAATTTTCACTGGGGGGGGGGCAGAAAAAAAGGCAGAACGAAAAATATGAACCGTCGAGGTTTGGCGAACGCGCGACTGGCACGAGTCTGAAGAGAGATTTTGTAAAACTTTAATTTCTTAACTTCAGCTATATTTTACTTTAAACAATAACTTCAACTCTTTTTAGCTATAATCGTACAGCTATAACCAGTGACGTAGCCAAACCTTAAAAGCATTTTATTGGGTTGTTTGCATGAAATCTATCGCTATTATGAAATACTCGGTGAAGAACAATATGAATTACACACAAGATGGCTGTGGAGGAGGCTGTGAAGGAGGCTAT